TGGGTTTTAACTCACTGTTTTTATATATATGTATAGGTGAGCATTTTGGAAGATAAGTCTAGAAGGGGTCTATAACTGAGTCACCGTTTTGAAGCCTACCGAGTTGTTTTGTGTGCCTCTGAGTTGGGGCTAGGCCTGGAAGGCCGTTGTCAAGCTTTTGATCGTGAAGTAAACTTTTGTTATGTGCATACGTTATGTATTAATGTTAAGTTACAAGTTATGTACTGAATGTGGGTAAACTAACATTTTTGCATGATAAATGTTTGTTCATATAGATGCACAACTCATTGGACTATTGGTGTATTTTTGTATATTGCTTCCGCAAGCCCTGAATATTTTTATTGTACAGGAAGGCCTTTGGTAATCCAAGGATTATTGGCCGGTTACGATGCCAAACTTTTAGGGGCGGGTTTGGATCGTGACAGAACCAAAGTGTGCAAGTTCAATAAATGCAACAAATAAAGACTCTCAAACCCCCTCTCTATCATGGATTGATCAAGGGAAGTGGTGGACATTGACTCTTGAACAGTTTACATCACTAACAAGTATGAAATGATCTAAGACTCAAGGGTTCAATTAACGTCCGATTAAACCTAAACCAAGTTATTATCTTGCATCATTTTTTTTAGTCCAAGTTTTATTACTCCATTTTAATTATCTTTCCAAGACTCAGGGGTTCAATTAACGTCCAATTGAACCTAAACCAAGTTATTATCTTGTATCATGTTTTTTAGTCCAAGTTTTATTACTTCATTTTAATTACCTTTCCATTCTTTAGTTCATTAAGTCCAAATGTGAAAATTAAGTCATCTAATGGAAAGAAGCATCAAACCAAGAGTTGCTTTAGGCATGAGAGAAGTGTCATGCCGTTGGTAATGAACCTCCAAATGGATTAAACCATTAAGCACAAGACCTCAATCTCATACTTTAAACAAGCAACTAGTTTGAACCAACTTTCAAAGCAAAGCAAAAGCCAAGAAAGGAGGGTGGTTGCAAAAGTGATTAGGGGTGAAAACAAATATGGAAAGCCATAAACAAATGCTATCAACTCAAATAGGATGGTGGCTAATTGGAAGGCCATTGTAAGTAACATTTCTGTAAAGATATGTTGATATGAACTATGTTTCCACTATTACGCGATAAGTTATGATTTCTGAAATGCTATTTTGATCATGTGAACGAATGTCCTATTTGCGAATCTATTATGGCATCTACAGATAGTCCCAAGTCATGGGGGACGACATGTAAATGCGGGTCCATGACACATATGTGATACGAGATCTCGTTAGCCACATCATTGTGATGATATGTGTTTAATCGATATCCGGGAACCGATTACTCTAGTCGGAAGACGATATATGATATGTTCTGTGAGATGTACCATTACGTTATGTTCTGATATGAGACTGAAGATATGATTTGTCTTATGGATATTGTATTTGGAATTCGTGCACTTACCCCTTTACGTTAATGTTATTCACTGGGTTTTAACTCATTATTTTTATATATATGTATAGGTGAGCATTTTGGAAGACAAGCCTGGAATGGGTCTATAACTGAGTCACCGTTTTGAAGCCTACCGAGTTGTTTTGTGTGCCTCTGAGTTGGGGCTAGGCCTGGAAGGCCGTTGTCAAGCTTTTGATCGTGAAGTAAACTTTCGTTATGTGTATACGTTATGTATTAATGTTAAGTTACAAGTTATGTACTGAATGTGGGTAAACTAACGTTTTTGCATGATAAATCTTTGTTCATATAGATGCACAGCTCATTGGATTATTGGTGTATTTTTGAATATTGTTTCCGCTAGCCCCGATTATTTTTGATTGTACAGGAAGGTCTTTGGTAATCTTGGATTACTGGCCGGTTACGACACTAAACCTATAGGGGCGGGTTTGAGTCGTGACAAGAGTGCATAGTATAAATTGATTCACTGTACACACATAAAATTGTACAATTTTTGTGTAGGGTGATCGTTGTATCTTGGAGACAAGATGTCTATTAATCGCAAGCACTAGAGTTGAGAGCAAATTTCTGTCTTAAAAACATAATGTTCAAACACTGTCCTCGGTCACAAACTGTTCTAACTTTTGTAGAATTTCTGTAAGGAATTTCTTATGTTTTATTTTCTTATTTATTTTGCATTAAATTGATTTTACCGAAAATATTTTCCTACAAAATATCAATTCAACCCCTATTCTTTTAATAATATAAAGGGTAAATTACGACAATAGTACCCATATTTTATCCTTTATGTCATTTTAGCCCTTATACTTTCAATTAGCTCAATTATGATCCTGAATTTATGATTCTGTTTCAATTTAGTTTAATTGATTACAACTTGTAATATATTTTTTTTTTAATGAAAAATACACATAAAAGTGTCACGCGCTATATTTTTAAGGGCAAAATTATAAACTTGTTCAACTCAGTTAGTTAACTTCAACCAATTTAGTGATAATTTTTCTTAAAAAACACTAACGATATTATTAATTGAACCAAATTGAAACAAAATATAAAATTAAGGGTCAAAATTGAACCAACTGAAAGTGTATAGACTAAAATGACATAAGGGGTAAAACATAGAAACCACTGGTGATGGGTTCGGTCCATCAGTTCGGTTCATAGATTAAGTTTTGCAGCTTGGCCCAACCTAGTATCGCGGCTGGACTGGCCATTCCAGTGTGAGTTAGGCCCAAGTGCTTGAGGACTTGGGTGGACTGTTGATCATGGAGTTGCGCTTAATTGGCTTGTTCACATGTTCATCTGATCCACTTGGATTTGGGCTTAGAGGATTGGACCAGCCAAAGGCTTGGATCTGACTTGTTTCACATCCAGCTCATTCATTTGCCCCCTAGCTCACGCTAAGGTTTCCCTTGGGGGGAGCTACTGTTCAATGCCCCAACCGTCACATCGCTTCAGATTTGTTCCAGTTCGGCCTTGGTGGTGGTTCAATCCTAACACACGTGCTTTGCATCAGTGTTGTATTGGTGTGCAGAGACAATGCGCCGATTTTGTATAGAGGGACGTGATTTGTACCATCACGCCAGTCAAGGGTCATAAATACCCTAGGCTGTCTCTTCATCCTCCTTGGTTGTTTCAAAGTTTTGAAATCCTAAAACCCTTTCAACCAATATAATACACATTTCAAATAGGAGGGACACGTTCCAAGGACAAAATAAACAAAACTAAAAGTAATATTTGACAAAACTCGATTAAAATTATCTTTTAAATTTTATCATGTAGTTAATTGGGGAGTGTGATTTTATAATTTGAGGTGCAAAATTTTATAATTTTAATATTATTTTATGAATTGCATGCATAGAAAATGTGTACGCAAAAATTCAAAATATTTGACAAGTGCAAAGAGTGTTGATAAGGGAATATGTGTGAGGCTGGTTCAAATGTTGATGGTCGAACTGCAGTAGCTGTGTGCATGATAAGGGAATTCTGAGTTGCTACTGCTGTGTTAGCTTGAGGTGTGATTGGCTTGGGATTGAAGATGCTTGGAACCTGATTTGCCACAACAAAGGTTGAATTTCACTGGGAGGGTGTCCTGCTTTGGACTGGACGTGCTAATTGGAGTTTCATTGGTGACTTACTTTATTTATTTATTTTTTATTTTTTTCCACCAACCTTTGAGACTTGTGTTAGGTCATGATTTAGTATGCTTCCTGGTGCCAATATAGTTGGGATTGTATAATTTTACTTTAATACTTTTTGCACTTCCTCCTCTTTATTGATATATTCTCAAATGTATTTATGTTTATTTCATCAATAAAATTTCTTTTCTTTTGTTGATTAAAAAAAAAATTTTTTTTTTGCAAAGAGTGTTGGATCCACGTATTTTCACTTTTGTGAGACATTTATTGTTTTTTGTTCACAATAACTTTTTGTATTGCATAGCTTCAACATTTAGCATTTACACATTTTCTTTCTCTTTTTAAATTTTTATCTAAATTCATAATTTAAATAGGGTAAATTACCTATAGGTCCTAATAGTTAGACTCAATTCCCATAAAGTCCTATTGAAAATAAATCTTGGTAAAATTGTCACTAAAAACAATTTTTTTTTTGTAACAATTTTTTATATATGTCGCTAAAAACTGACAATTAGTGACTTTTTTATAATGATTTTTATAAATTGTCTCTAAAACTTACAATTAGTGACTTTTTTTATGAATTTTTTTTTTTTTTTTTAGACATTTATTGTTTTTTGTTCACAATAACTTTTTGTATTGCATAGCTTCAACATTTAGCATTTACACATTTTCTTTCTCTTTTTAAATTTTTATCTAAATTCATAATTTAAATAGGGTAAACTGCCTATAGGTCCTAATAGTTAGACTCAATTCCCATAAAATCCTATTGAAAATAAATCTTGGTAAAATTGTCACTAAAAACAATTTTTTTTGTAACAATTTTTTATATATGTCGCTAAAAATTGACAATTAGTGACTTTTTTAAAATGATTTTTATAAATTGTCTCTAAAACTTACAATTAGTGACTTTTTTTATGAATTTTTTTTTTTTCCATAAGACCTATTAGACAATAAGTGTATTTATTAAGACCTACACGTAAGTATCTCATTTAAATATAGTGTTATTAAGCTACCCAAACGTCACTAAATTACACAAGGATATGTGCATATATATATATATACATCTTGAAATTGGGCTAGCTTTGTATTGGGCCTGCTTAGTCTTTTCGATCCATTCATCATTTTTATATCCACTAAAACTACACCAATCTTTGTAATTAAGTACTTTTCTTTCACTAACATTGTAACATGAACGTTAATTCAAACTATTTGAAAACATTAGGTTGCGTTTGTTTCATTTATTTGAGAAATGATTTAGAAATAGAAACAGATAGAGAAAAAATAGCTACATCTTACCTTGTGTGACGTAATTGCTTAATCCAGCTAAGAACTTGATTCCAGTGGAGGATAACCACGACTGTCACATTTATAACATGATAAAATATTGGATAATAGACAATGTTTCAAATAAAAACAAATAATCAAATTCGAACTTCCAAGTAAGACATCATGAATTAATTGTAATTTCGAAAATACAAACATAATTAAATTTCAATACAGAAGAACAGAAAAAAGGCATCTCAAATTGTAATGATCATGTTAAACTAGCGGTGTAAGGGACTCCAGTTGTAGGCAACCAACTATTTCCTGATATGAAGTTGAAGACAGTGAAGTTAACTGCATCCATGGCGGTTATCACATGGTAACCAGGCCAAGTAACCCTGTTGGCAGTACTTGATCCCGGTCCTCTATTATTGTATTCTGCATAATACAACGTGTCCAGCGCAAAAGTCCCGGACCACGCAGCCCAACCAGCTGGATTAATCAAGCTATCCATGAAGGATTGCATATAAACAGTTCTTGAGTAGAGCTTCCACGGCCTGCCCAAGAATGTTTGTGTCGTGCCATTGTTTGCTGCCAAGTCAGGGGCAGCTGTAATAATACAATTGTGTATTGAAGTACCAGTATTCTGGTTTATATCTGTCCTTCCTTGTGCGGTGATTGTATTAAACTGGCCTAATATGGGAAGCCGCGGATATATATTGCAGTTTTGTAAAACAACAGCTGCATTTCCAAATATGAAGTCCACCGTGCCGTAGATATCGCATTCCTTATAGAACTGCCTGAGAGAATGGGCATACAAGGTGTCCTGGTAGCCTTCAAAGCTGCATTTGTAAAAGGTGGACAAATCAGCGTCGTTTCGAAGTGCCACTGCTTGTTGCTTTATAGCTCCTGCTGTGTTTCGAATGGTTATGTCTATTGCTACAAATCCTGGTCCAACTACAGCTGCAATTGAAGTATTCATTGAGAATGTAAGATTTAGTTAGTTTTGAATTGCTTAAATGTAATTGACTAGATTTAATTTATAGAAAAGCTGAACATTAGTTAGGAAACAAATAGTCCAATTTTCATACGTTTTCAAATCTCTACCGTGTTGTCTCAAAATATTGACAATTATTAAATGTTTTGAACAGAGAAACAGAGGTATTGGGAAAGGACCTTATGCTATTAGAGGAGTTTTACGACTATAATTGAACCATAGGTCACAAGGAAGTAAAATAAAATTTTCCCTTACAGATAATTATTTATAAATGACGAGAACAAAAAGATGTAAGATGTGAAATAAATAAGAAAAAATGAATGTTAATTGTAATATTTTAGTATTCTATTTATTTTTTATTTATTATTATTATTATTTTTTTAATGTTCGGAAAGAATAAATTAGGGTTAATCGGTAAAAAGTCCATTCATATAGTGCCATATGTCATTTAGTCCATAGTTTAATTAATTTTTTTTTGTGAGAATGATACAAAATGAAAAGTTGTCAACGCTGAAAAAGTTGCCGCAAAGTAATTGGAGCAGTGGCGGCGGCAATAGCAGTAGTAATTATTGATAATGACATGGACAGATATGTGATATTAAACAGATATGTGACATGTGTATAGATATTGAGATGTTTGAACATATATTGCACAGATAAGTTACACATGTATAAATAGTAAAACATTTTAATAAATAGCAAAATA